ATTTCATAGTGTTTGGCTCTTGAATATTTTAGTTCTTCCAGAAAAATATTAATTACCATACAAATTTTGTAAAAATGTTTCATTTTTTTATAAGCCGACCGCTAGAGTCCTAAAACAATACATCAGCACTACAATTATTGTAAACAAACAAATGGAGCACCACTTGGCTCCGTTCTGCTCCGTTCCAAGGCATTTTATCTGGTGGTTTTCGAACTCTAGTATGTCGTTTTGTTGGAAGTTTTCAATCCCTTGTGACTGAATTATATCATATTAAAGAAGCATGTTGACTGAAAACGATCCCAAGTTGAAGTTGAAGTATACAGGAGACTGAAGAGTCCTGAGTCCTGAGTAATATCAGGTTGAAGCTGGGAAATTTTGGTTGATAAACGCAAGTTGATCTGGCTCACTTATCAGCAAGAAAAAAAGTAAAATTAAAAGAGCTTATTGGCCGAAAACAAGCTATAATAGTTATTGCAGGAGATCAATACTGAAGAGCACGCGCACGCGCAGTATCAAGCTAGTAAATGTTGGCTGATGAACGCGTATTAGATGTATTGGTATGAATATTGAAATATAACTTACAGCAGCAAGATCAATGAGTGCTAACTATCAAGTGAAAAATTCTAGAATGAACGAACCCAGGCAGCTTTACTTTGCTATGCAGATGGTAATGTGCATTAGGTACTCAGTGTCTGGCAAATGAAACATGCGATCATTCTATTGCTACTGGAGAAGAAAGCTTGGATCACTAAATCAGCTTAATGTTTAATTTGATGTTCATCATTACTTTGCATTTCTTGAAAAAAGGATTTAAGTAAAATTGTCAATGTGAAAATCCATGCAACGATGTGATCATGTCATGTGTTCATAGTCATTCGTGATGGTGATTATTGGTCTAATATACACAAGCAAAGCTGTCAGCATTTCTTTCTGTGGATGGCCAGAAGGGACTCAGAACTTAGAAGTATTAGGTTTTCACAGGGCTGGGATAAAAAGTACTGAGGGACTGAGGGTAATCTTCCAGAAAGGAACTTTATTTTGACTTGGTATGAGATGTAGGCACAATTTAGGTAGGTGCTCAGTAGTTTAGTAGTTATGTAGGTATAGTTGGGTTAGCTAAGATTAGGTCATGCTAGTTTTTTTTTTTAATTTGCCAAGTGTCCATAAAAAATGTGACCTGATCAATTCATACCGGACTAACCTGACCTAACCTCAATCATCACACTTATTTGCAACTTACCCAAGACCTGCATAGCATTAGCACCCAGTTACAGGTACTAGGTACTCAGTACTCACCCTAACTCAATCTTACCTGCTAACCTTCAACTTGACAACAGTTAGCTCACCTTGCCAAACCACATCCAGGGTAACAGCAGCCAAATGAGGAACTGGCTCATTGGGTGGCTGGTGCGAGTCTGTGCATTTTAAGTGTTTCTTCTCTGAAGCTGCTCTGCACTGCTGTATGCCATGTTTGACGCTCAGAAAAATGTGGGAAATGTAACTAAGCTAGTTTAGTGCTTTGTTCCTGCTCGAGACATCATTAAGTACAAATCCTGCGGGGTACAGCTATGAGATGAGCTAGGTGAGTAAATTATTTGAATATGCTGTTTGACTGTAGTAAATATACAAACAATCACAGGGTCACAGTTAGGTATATTCAATTTCCGCATAAACATTCAACAAAACGCCCATGCCTCACTCCGAGCACACAACAAATAACTTTAGCCTTTGCAGGCACAAAAATACTTTGATTTACGGGATGGGTATACAATATATCCTCTGTCCTTGGGGATCTTGCTGCAAAGTTTGAGTTGAAGTAAGATGACTGAACTTCAGGACAAGGTATGATTAACTTTTTCTTCTTAGCCACTGCTTATGTACGAGAAAGACTAAATGCTTGGTTAATCAACGCCTTGAAAATATAATGATCCATCTTCAATTCGACATGAAGCCACAAAGAAATTAGTCCCACTTCTCTCTCCTCTTGGAATACACAAACCAAAATATTTAATAACTTCTTCTTAGTGTGAGTGGAGGGACATGGACAAGAGCAATTATCATAGCTTCCCTTCAAGTTAACCTCTGGCAGTTGGCACTGATCACACGGACACCTCTGATTGATCCAAGATAAAATTGAAATGTGTAAAACTGTCTAGTCAATCATGGAAGGAACGGATGAACTTGAGGTGAATATGATATTTTGCGATATACATCAACGTTGCCTTGGAACTTTTTTGCAGGTTCGCTTCATATTTTGTAACAAACGCGCAAAAACTGCAATAAAACAGCACTATATGCTTCTGGACAAAATACAATGACAGTAAAAAATAAGCCCTGATGGTATTCATTCTCGGCCAAAATCCAATCACAAAATATTTTGTAGTAAGAACTAAATTTCGGCTAAAAACCGTGCACGTTTAAAAAAAGAATCATTCCAATGACGGTCCATTATTGCGGTCCTGAAATCGCCACTATTTCCGGCCTCTCCAACGCAACTCGTTGTCCAGAGGTAAATATGCAGGTGGGCAGGGGTTTTCGCACTACGGCTGCGGTTGAACTACCGTCTGTGGTAGAAACTTCAGGATGATGGCGCGTTTCATACGAAATCTGGCGCAATGTTTGTTTGCTTCTGAACTTGTACAAGACTTGTACTGTTATTGCTGTGAATTCTTGAAGTGGGAGTGTTTCAAGAACAATTTGTGGATTATTTGAGTTTCTTTATATAAACATAGAATAATATTATGAAACATTGTGTGGAAACTGCAAATGCTGATATGATCAATTACTTAGTTTGGGAATTGATACACATTTTGTAGAGGTTTGTCAGGCAAATGGTGTAACAAACCTCAAGCCTATCATGATCTGAAGCTGTTGTAACAAATCAAAATTGCATTGATGTTACATAGTACCTTGTTGGAAAGACTGGAGTATGGTTCAAGATGATGTGTAAAAATTCAAGATTTGTGCGAAGGCTTATGACTGAAGAGCGAAAACAGTTATATATGATGGCTCAATCAAATGTTGAAATGGACGACAAAAGTAGAGTTTCAACATTTCAGCATGTGAGAATAACATCCGAAATTCATAGTTTTTGTAGTATTGCATTCTTCTTATGTACAGTTATAGGTTTTGTTAGGGTATTTCAAATTCATTGTGTCAGTTGAGATATGGATGGATTGCGGACAAAATTTAGAATCATTGCATGGTAGATAGGTACTTGCTCGGTAAAAAGGTATGTGATGAATGCCATGAGAAGGTTTTTTATGATTTGATATATGGTCACTGTTGTACCTACAAAAATGCAAGCTTACTAGCACCTAGTCTGAATCAAATTGAAAGTATTTGCTATGAATGTAAAAATGTGCTTGCAAAATATGTCAATAAATTTGTGTGATGTTGACCAGAGAGCTTTATCATCTGGACATTTATGTTGCTTCTTACATTAGGTGTTAGCATAGTAATAAGGGATGAACTTTGTGCCAATATCTTCAATGCACAATGTATTTAGCATGTCTACAACCCTCACTGATCCTGTTATAGCTATAGGCATTTGGCACCAGCAAGACCAAGGGCATGAACTTCACAGTTGCACAACCTTTTGTCATGTACCACCAGTCACTTTTTTACTTAAGGTCAGTCCCACGCACAAGGGGGAAAAGCTCAAATTATTGAGCGCTCAAAATATTGAGCGTGTGACGTCAGAGGCTCCCATAGGCGTAATGCTGAGGGCTCAAAAAATTGAGCCGTTTCAGGAACACGTTTTGCAAAAGCAACTCGCAACACCTAGGGAGAAATGGCAACACCCTAGGAGAATCACTAATGATGCAAAACAGATAAGGCTTTCATATTTTTCACTGCTCAAGCTTCAATGATTGGGGGAACACCAATTTATAGGTCGAAATCTTACGGCATACCAGGATGACTTAAAAACAGGCCAATATTTATGTCGAAATAAAAGTTATTTTTTGTCCATTCACGTTTTTTACAAGGGTTCTGTTGGAAAGAGCATTTTTCATACTACCCAAAATGATTGCGATTCAATTTCACATTACCCATATCGGTGAATATTTTTCATTTGGCGGCGCCGTTTGTTTATTTCGTCGCGACGTCTCCGGTCGCGTGGTTGTCGTCGTCCTTGTGTTGAGGGTAAGTTTTTATCGTTTTAGTTGTACTTAGGTGTTAAAAGGTACACTGAAAAGTTTGAATATGCTGTGATTTTAAATTTGGAAACACGTAAACGTCAATCAATTCACGTTTTCCTCCATTTGCGTGCAGATAAGTAACTGTCGACGAAAGTGGCGCCATCCGATATGATGTTTTGAAGGAAGGAGACACAACATATTTACGTGAAAATTTTTGTTTTTTAGTGGTCTAAGTGCTTCAAAGAGGCTGTGAATGTTTTCTTCACACAATTTTTCATTAGTTATGATGAGGTAAAAGGTAGTTTCAGTCTTAACTTTCATATAATTGACATTAAAACATATGATAGTCCACTGCTATCAGTGATTGAGTACCTTGATATTTGACATTTCTTATTGATTTGAATGTATTCTCTATCCATATGTCCTGATAGTAAGTGACAATACTCTGCCAATATGTTTCCATAGTTTTCACATTCATTTTCCAGTCCTTTACATAACATCACAATTTATAATCAACAAAACTCAACTCCTTCATTACTTCACAACACTGACAGCATGACAGACTGACAGTCAACTATTGTGTGGGTGAATGCTGAAACAAGATAGCCACTTTGCCGACTGGCTCGCTCATATGAAATAAGATAAAAATGATCCTTTATATCATTATTACAGGCACAACACCCCGTTCCGCGTCCCGCGACCGACTGCCCGCTCGCCGCGGCGCGCCCACTCCCCAGCCGCCGCCAGCCGGGCGGCGGCGCCGCGACCACTCGCCGGGCCGCGCCGCGGGCGGCGCCAGGCGCTCGCCCAGGGGCGGCCCGCGCCACGGGCGGCGCCGGGCGCCCGCCCAGGGGCGGCCCGTAACACCCCTCCCCCCTAGCACAACGCGCACGATGTAACAACGATGATCCGCACAAGAAATACCGCGAACATGTCTCCCCGCGACACGAACAAACAACCACGCCTCGCCACAAAACCAGGCTGCTTCCTCGCGCCGGCCGCGCAGGGGAGGGTAAACACCGGGATGGTCCGCCACACATTGAGTCACCGAGCTGCTACGGCTATGCCTCAACAGTCAACAGTATCATACACAGCCGCCTCCATACTACTACTGAGTCGAGCCGCTCCTTGCTCGCTTAACGAAACAAAAAAAAAGGTACTTGCGCCGCCCCAGAACGAAAGTGAGACACCTCAACACCAAAAGAACACACACATTCAGCCGCTGCTACATACATGTACGGATGCACGGGCCGCCACCCGAACGACCGCCTTCACCACCTGCCCTACACCCGTTAACGCATGCGGAGCCACTTGGGGAATGACAAACTGATGCACCCGTAGCCCCTCTTGTTCAGATGTACGCCGTCCGCGAGATGGAGCCCCTCCGCCACCTTATACACCCGTCGCTTGCCGTGGCGGCAACAGAGTCGCCGCCCCAGCGGGATGACGGCAGCTCCCGTAGCCTTCTTGATTTGGCGGAGAGACTTCTCGAGTTCATAGGCTTGCGTCTCTTCCCATTGTCGGCCCCGATCCCGGGACAGCCGCGGCTGGGTGCCCACGAGTGTGACGTGCACTCCCATCCTCTGTATTTCTCCGATCCGGTCCTGAACTTCTTTCATCAACCGCGTCTTCATCCCCTCTGGTAGTTTGATGGCGTCCTTCGGGTACACATCGTTTCCTCCTACCCACAGGATTACTTGGGCACTGGAGGTGTCAGGATGAAGGCCATCCAACCACCTCCGCACCTCCATGACCCCCTCAGCCACCCAGCGGCGCAGTGTGTACCCCGGTATGGCCCGGATGGTGAGGCTTCGGGGTGGGTCGCAACGGACGTCTGTTCTGTGCAGGATCGAGTCCCCGATGAGAAGGACGGCTTCCGCGCGACCAGCCTCCGGCGAACCGCCGGACGCCCCGTCGGCCTCACCAACTACCACCTCCTCCGGCGACCCGTCTGTGGGCGTCTCCTCCCGCGGCTTCTCGTCCTGCAGCTCCATGTTCGAAAACTCCTCGAACTCTTGCGCCTCGACACCCAGCAGCTCACTTAGCAGGTCCGTTGTGTCAGTCTCCACCAGGTCGACCGCCAGCGGAGACAGATGGTCACGCACAGGATCTCCTGCGCCCGCCTCTAGCAGGGTAGTCACGAACGGGGGTGTGGAGACACCGGCTAACACGGCGGACGTCGGAGACAGCGGCGGCAGATACTCTACAGACCGCTGCGCATCACCCGTGAGCAAGCCGGTCGTCGTCGATGGTCCACCAACCGCTCCGGCGCCGACGGGGAGCGCGATGTCCTCCTGCTGCTGGACAGCCTCCAGGGCGGCACGTACTTCGGCCACTTCCCGCCGCCTCTGCTCCCTCTCCTCTTCGAGGGCCGACCATAGGCGATCGATCTCCTGCCGCATGCGCTCCATCTGAAACTAGAAAGCTGGACTCATTCATCGTCCCGCCTGATAGTATGCGGGCGGCCTTGACACCCGCCCGGTTCGCGTTATGTAGTACCCTTGGGGTGTCCCACCCTGCTGCTCCCGATGGGTCCCTCCGGCGGACCCGCCGGCCCTTACGAATGGCATGAATGGTACTTGTAAGCCAGTTGTGTGATCCTCATTGGGTATCCACTCCCGGATCCCCGTGTCATGTTCCTGAGTCATTTCCTTAGTCATATCTGGTCCCTGAGTGTGGCGCTTGGTAGTCCCTTCCTGAATGCCAGACACCCGTGGCACAAACTCCTTCAGGTCATTGTAGTGAACCTGACGTACTTTGCCGCGCTCGTCCTGAATTTTATATGTTGTTTCATCTCGCCCCCCACGGTTACCGATGATGGTCACCGGTCCCTTATACGGCAGACCCAGTTTCGGCTTCCCGCCGACGGCGGCCGTGTGATCTCGCACCCACACTTTCGTTCCTGTAGGATAGGCAGTGTGATTGACTCTGCTATCGTGGCGAACCGCCATCCGAGCAGCTGCTTTGGACGTGGCTTCTTTGACACGAGCATATGCCCGTTTCATTGTCTTCAGCCGACTGTTAAGGAACGTCCTGGTCGGGATTGGGTCAGTTTCGGGGCCATACACCACGTCCAGCGGTACCCGAGGCTCGAAGCCATGAATCAAATAGAATGGGGTGTACCCGGTAGTTTCGTGGAGGGACGAGTTGTACGCCATGGCGTAGGACATGACTCCCTCATCCCAGCTCAAGCCTTGGCCATCGACGTATTTCGAAACCATGTCCTTTAGTGTACGCATGAAGCGCTCGACCATGCCGTCGCTCTGCGGGTGATAGGGTGTTGTCCTAGTCTTGTGGATACCGAGTCTCGTATACATCTCCTTCATCATCAGAGACTCAAACTGTGCGCCCTGATCAGTGTGTAGCCTCTCCGGGACACCAAGCTCTTGGACCCAGTCTAGGAAGGCATCCATGACTGTCTCAGTCTTCTGATTTGGCATTGGGTAAATTCTCACGTACTTTGAAAAGTAATCCATGATCACGAGTGCGTATTTGTTTCCTTTTGAGGAAAGAGGCATCTCCGTGATGTCCATGGCAACCCTCTCAAAGGGGCGAGACGTCACCTCAGTCACCAATGGTGCACGCCTGCTCGGGGCAGGCCTACAGCGTCGCTGACATTGTGTGCACGAGGCGCAGTAGCTGCGGACGTCCTCGTTCATCCCCGGCCACACGAATCGGGCTTTTACCCGAGCGATGGTCCGCCTCCGACCCATGTGACCACTGGATTTGTCATCGTGGGCGAGTCTGATGATTTCAGCTTGAATTGCCTTGGGCACGGCCGCCTGGAAACGTTGCTTGCTGGCAATTCCTAACACTCCTGAGCGAACCTCTACTTGTCCCCAGTGCTTCTTCAAGACGGCCCAACCGCTCGTCTCTGTGGATTTAGGCATCCTCCCCTCCTCCTTTGCCCGACACAACGCCGATAACGTTGGATCGTCTTGTTGGGCCTCCAGCAGCAGCGACTCGGTTGATCGTTTCTCCCCGACTGCGGAGGGGGGCGTCAACGTCTTTGTCGCCGGGTTCACCCTGTCTGTCGGCCCTGACGATAATGTGGCGGGTGCTACAGAGGTGATCACGGAATATGGTGACCCTCCTACCCCAGAGATCGCCGCATTCCCTGTCGGCGAAGCCGCCGTGGACCGTGACGGTGTTGGCGAACCGCCAGCCGTCGGGACTGATCCGCCCATTGCTCGCGACATGCCGGCATCCCCAGCCAGACCACCATTGCCCTCATCGACGGACACCCCAGATGGCCTCCTCGATAGTGCATCCGCATTGCCATGCCTCACCCCACTGCGGATCCGAACCATGAAGTCGAAGGAGCTTAGCTCGACCGCCCAGCGTCCTCGACGTCCTGTGCCATCACGTTCCACCGAGATCGAATCAGGGATGTTTGCCAGAGGTTCGTGGTCAGTCCAAGGCCATCTATAGAAGGTACAGTCACTCCCCCGCCGACCAATCAGAGACAGATCCTGAGTGACGTCATCCCTGATGCTCGCAAGGGGTACTCCATTCCTTTGCAACGTAAAAATGACTAACTTCATTTGAAGATTATTGATGGCACTCTGCACATACCGCTCAGCCGTTGATGTCAATTAAAAGCCCAACTAATTTTCCAGCGACAAAAAAGAGCAGCAATATGCTAAGAAATGGCCGGTTTTGAAGATATAGACGATTTAAAAACCCTCTGCAACAGCAGGAAAGCAACGTAAAAACGCATCGAGCTTATATTTTTACTATGGATAAATCATTTTTCAGTAAGTTTTTAGATATGGTATAGATTTAAGGTACAACTTTATTACAATATTTTCATTACTTGAAACTTTATTTCAAAATAATATTTTCAAAAATGGCAGCTGTTGGCCAGTAGCTTGGGAGCGATTGTGGCGCACCGCGCCATTAATTGTCCTGTGGCCCCCTTATGATGTCATCAAAAGTGGAGTGACATGGGCCTGGGTCAGTCACTACCTCGAACTTGGCTCCAACTGTATATTGCCGGAAATGTCTGATGCCGTGGACCACAGCCCAGAGCTCTTTGTCGTAGGTGGGCCATTTCACCTGCTGCTTCGACAGCGCCTTACTCTCATAGGCGACCACCCGCTCATACTCCCCTGTCTTCTCAGTCAAGACAACGCCAACCGCGAAGTTGCAGGCATCGGTGTACAGGACAAACGTCCCCTTGCCAGTTGGTAGCGTCAGGATCGGCGGCATGGCCAGGACGGACTTAAGCTGCTCGAAGGCTCCTCGCATCGCTTCCGTCCACCTGATTTGACCGTCCGCCACCGTGGCGTCTCGCAGAGGCTTTGTGATTGCCGCATATCCTTGGATGAAGCGTGCGTAGTACCCGCACAGACCGAGAAAACTCCTCATCTCTTCGTCGGATGATGGATGTGGCCATGCCAGTACCTTTTCCACGTTACGTGGATCTGGCCGGATTCCCTCTTCGGAGACTAGGTGGCCGAGGAACGTCACTTCTTTGCGAGCGAAGCGACATTTTTGCGCCTTGAGCTTCAGTCCCGCCGCTCGGATCCGCTCGAACACCTCTTGTAGAGTGGCCAGATGCTCTTCCTCCGTCCTGTTGAACAGGATGACGTCATCCAGGTACACTAGGCAACTTTTTGTGTCCAGACCCGCCAGGATCATTTCCATCAACTTCTGGAACGTGCCGCTCGCATTCTTCAGGCCCATTGCCATCACTCTGAAGTGATGTAGCCCCTTGCCCGTCGAAAACGCCGTCTTTTCTCGATCCTCAGGTGCCAACTCCACCTGCCAATATCCCGTGGCCATATCCAGCGTGGTGAACCACCTCGCTTTAGCCAGGGTGTCGAGAGAGTCGTCAATTCGAGGGAGTGGCATCGCGAAGCCTTTCGTCACTCTGTTCACTGCTCTCAGGTCAACACAGAAGCGGAAGGTTCCGTCCTTCTTGCGAACCAGTACCACTGGAGAGCACCAGGGACTTTCGCTTTCTTCGATGATCCCATCCTGTAGCATCTTCTCCTTCTGCTTCTCCACCTGGTCACGCACCTTCAGCGGCACCCGCCGTGGTCTTTGTTTGATGGGACTAGCATCACCAGTATCGATCTTGTGTCTGGTTAGATTCGTCTGACCAATATCTCCGGGACGCCAGCTGAAGACATCGGCATATTTCTCGAACAAGCCGCGCAGCCTCCCCTGACCATGTTCCCCGAGATCAGTCAGACCGGGTTCCAGCGCCTGCTTCACGTCCGGATCGATATCTTCAGCTGCCTCCGGTGGAAAACCTCCACCTTCGCAGCTCGCCACCGCGTCAACCACGTCGTCCGGCTCTGGACACAGTTCACACATGTCTCCCAACGAGTCTCCCATCGAGAAGAATGTTCCCACGTCTGAGCCTTTCAGCAGTCGAACGTCTTCTGTCCCGACGTTCGAAAATTGAATGGGCACTGTGCCGTCGGTCGCGACAGCAACAACAGCTCTCGGTATCAACAGTGAGTCCCAGTCGGCTGCAGGGCTCGGCTCCACCATCCCGGTCATGGGCGTCTCTGCCACAGCTACGCCGGATCCATCCAGCGGTTCAACCACCGCTGCAGCTGTCAGGGTCGAGCGACCCGGAATAGTCACCGTCTCTGCCAGAACAACCTTAGCTCGGGAAGCTCGAATCTCTGGGTACGTGGGAAGGGAAATTTTCAACCCTTTGATACGAAAAACTCCCTCTTCGTCATCGATGATGGTGCGATGCTGACAACAGAAATCTCGACCGAGAATCACGTCATACACCAGACCAGCCACCGCTGCCAGTCGAGAACATCCGAATGTCTCTCCGGAGATCGACATCGGGACATCACAGAGTACCTCCGTGATCACCAGCGGACTCCCACCCGCTCCCTTCGCAGACCGCGAAGGGGTGGTTGACTTACAGCCCAACTCCACCTTGATGCGCTGATGTAAGCCGCACCTCACCATCGAGAAATCTGCGCCAGAATCAATGAGTGCCCACGCCTCAAGACTACCGATTTTCACCCTGACGGCGGCTGCGGTGAACCGGGACTGGTGAGAAGCAGCTGACTCTCGCCCCACTGAACCAGCTGCCCCTAGTTTTCCGGCTGCCTGTTGTCAGTGGACTTCGTTGGTGCAGTCTGCCGTCTGCCCTGCGCTGAACGGGTCACGTGGTCCGTGAGAGAACGGCAAGCCGCCATCCAGTGACCGCTGCGACCACAGGCTAGACAGAACGGGTGACGTGGACCCCTCCCAGGCTCCTTGAACGGACAGTCAATCCGAATGTGTCCCCTTTCTCCACAGCAGAAACAAATGACGTCACCGGTACCAGACCTCGGCTGAGCGCGGCGAGCCGCCGGGCAGTCTCGTCGCATATGCCCTGGCGCTCCACACCTGTAACAAGATATGTCTCTCGACAGCTCTGAACCTGTTCGGGAGCTGGCAGCAGCTACTAGTGTCTCCATCGAATACCTGAGATTGGCTATCTCCTGTTCCAACTGAGCTACCCGGCCGTCGCTGCAGCTTGCGTCGACCCGGTCTGGCTCAGCGTCAACCGCCGCCACCGCCGACCGAACGCCTGAACAGCCTTGCTGAGTCACAGGTGACTGGCCAGCCGCCCGCACCGCCTGGACCACCTCCTGGCGCTTGTTCAGCTCGTTCACGATAGACACTGCTTCGGACAGGGACCCTGGCCTCCGGTGACACAATTTGGCCTGAAGCCACTCATCCCGCAGCCCACAGATGAGTCGGCTCGCCAAATCCTCATCTAGAAACTTTCTCGGTTCAGTCGAGCCGGACCCTTTCGACCCGGGCGCTGCCGCCTGTGATGGAAATGCGGCTCGGCCGAGTTTCCCGATGCGGTCTGCAAAATTTGCCACCGTCTCTCCTGGTGCTTGACGCACCCCACCGAGCGCTGCCCGCGCCTCCAGTGGATCGACGGATCTACCGAAACGCTCACCCAGGTGCTTCCGTACCTCGCAGTACGATTTGTTAAGTTTCAACTGTGATTGCGCACAATCCGAGGCCAGACCGTCCAACAACGGCAGGAGACGTTTTAACCGTCCCTCGTCCCCGTGCTCAGACGTCAGCGCCTCGAACCGTGCTATCCATCCCTCCCAGTCATCCGTGTCCAGCCCCGCGAACCGCGGAGTGCGTGATACCAGGATGGTGTCATTAAAGTCCATCGCCGGACTGTCCCTGGGGCCCCGAAATATATGCAAAAAAATATTACAGCTGACCCTTCCACGCAGTGCAATTGTGATGTGGCCTTGTATTTAATGTCGACTGCCGTGTGGACCACACGGCGACAAAAAATCACGCCGAGCAAACCGCTCGTCGATGCCACTTAACCAAAATAAGTCATTGATAACATCCGCCGTGTGATCCACAAGGCGAGAAAAAAAAAATATGCTGAGCGAGCCGCTCATCAACAGACACGCAATACCAATAACGGCAATTCAAATAAAAAATAATAGCACCAATCCTGAATTCATGTGGCTTACCTCTAGTGGTGTCCTACCGACCGCGCCAATATTACAGGCACAACACCCCGTTCCGCGTCCCGCGACCGACTGCCCGCTCGCCGCGGCGCGCCCACTCCCCAGCCGCCGCCAGCCGGGCGGCGGCGCCGCGACCACTCGCCGGGCCGCGCCGCGGGCGGCGCCAGGCGCTCGCCCAGGGGCGGCCCGCGCCACGGGCGGCGCCGGGCGCCCGCCCAGGGGCGGCCCGTAACATCATTTCCATCTGGAGGATCGGAGTCAACGGAAAAGGAAGGCCATTTTCAAGCCTCAAGGTCTAGGCCGCCAGACGCCAGTCGGCAGTCACCACCAAATTTATAATCAATTAATTTATTATTATACTTTGAGACCCTTAGGTCACTGGATCAGCATCACATTTTCAGTTTCAATATAGTAAAGGTTTTTATTTGTATGATGTGAAATATTTTCCTGAATCAGAATTTAATTATCCCTAGGTACCTGGTAGAGGTTTTGGATTTAATGCTCATTGTTGGTGTGCAGTCAGGATTTTTTGACAGGTCCAGATAGGGAATCCTGAGCAATTTTATAGTAAAGTGGTCTCATTATAATCACCACACATTTTATCAAAAGCATTTGCAGAATTCATTCAATGAAGAATTTTATCAATGTTGCACCCATTTCTTAGACGACCTAGGTTGCATCTTTTTTTTTAGTTCCTGTTGTATGACATATTTTCCGTTTTGTTCCACTGCATAAAGAAAAAAAATCGTTTGAGATCACCAAACAGCTTTTCTTTTTCTGGCAGGTCTGCACAACCAAGCAGTCGCTGGCGAGGACGTCGGCCGTCTCTGTGGGTAAGGTCATCTGCTCAGCCTTTGTGGAGATCAGCAAGACGTCACTAAGATGAAGACTTCGCTGGAGCAGAAGCCGCTGACCCGTGTCCGATCGGGCAGGTCATGCTCGACGGCACGCAGAGGTCGATAAAATGCTTGGAGTTGCTCCAACGAACATCTTAGTCCCATCACTGTCTCCAACTTAGCCCTCGCCTGGCGGGAGGGGGGATGCAGCCTCCTTAAGTTTTTTTTTTTTGTAAAAGGTGGTGTCGCGTAGCGCCGCAAAATTTGGCACAACGTCTGGGAATGAGCCTCTTGCGACATATCCTGAAAATTTCAAGTGCCAGTCATTTCAGGACCTGGACTATGACTATGTAAAGTACGACCAGTATTGGTACTCACACCTTTCCTTTGAATTAGACGGATAAACAGGCGCCATGCCTATAAATTTGCCCAAGCAAATGATATCCTAGATGAACAATGCATGCACAACTGTCTAATCACTGCCAATTGCCGCGTCGGCACACCGGCATCTCCTCACCTTCTCCCCACACGGCCTTGACTCCCCAACTCACACCATCACACTACTGCGTACGGTGACCGGTCACACGGTGGATCTGAATGCCTACGTTTTCATGCCAAAGTCTGAAACAACTAACGATTATCATCAGCGTAGAAATGTTGAAATTTAGCATTTTAAAGCTTTTAACTTAAAACTTTATAAGTGTGTTTTAACGCACTTGTCCTTATTGATTGAGAAAAGAGCGCACTTTTGATCGTATTACCTTCTACGAAGTAACGCAATCGAAGTGTGATTCCGGTCCACTGTGCGTTTTCAGGCGCGCTCGATAAAACACCCAGGCCTGGAGAAAGTTGGAAGGGTGATTTTCTGATCCTCCTTACCACAAAATGACCCTAAGCGAAAAAATGCCCGCGGGGCGCTGCCAACGCGTGCCAGCGGCCCTGCTAGTAAGGGCGAAAATCAATGCATGTGTATGCGGAGCACACCCTTAGCGCTACGCTGGCTCCTTGGAGACACCTGGAGAAACCTCTGCCGGCAGAAGGGTCAGGTCCCTCGCAGACGGCGCGGCACGGCGGGAGCTTAGCGGGTGGCCTAGCCGGAAAGAGGATAAAAATAGCCGACTGGCCCGACCCAGCGAGTGGTGACCGAAGGGTGACCAGGAGTGAATGAGGGAACATAGGTACACGCGGTACCGAGCAGCCGATAACAGCACCGGACGATTAGAAAGTCATAAGTCAATGCTGTATTTTAGGCGTAAGGAAGCATCCATGTAGACGGGCGGACTGTCTCCAGCTCTTCCAAGTATTGCTAATATCTTGCTCCAACGAGCGTTGGCACGTTGGAAGTTTTATCGACCACTGACGGCACGAGCCACAACTCGAATGACTCGGTGACATCAACAACATGGTGGAGCAGGTGAATGAGTTTGGCGACGTGTTGTGCGACTGCAAGAAGGGTTGTCTGCGTGTTCTGGCCGGCGGAGCGGCGACGCTGCGCAGTCTGTGCTGGCGGTGAGCAGCCTGGCCGTGGTGACCGCGCGCGCCCACATGCGCCGACAACCTGTGCGGCTTCGACGGCCCGGGACAGCCCGATGCCGCCCACTATGCGACGCCGACCGCGCACTGTCCGCACGGCCACATGGAGGTGTGCCCGCGCCTTTTGCCCGCACGCCGCTACCTCGCAGCTGGTCTGCAACCACGCCGTCGCCGCCTGTAGCCCGATAACAAAACGGCTGTCTGATAATGCCGCGTGTTCTTTGTGATGTTGCTACTGTGATCGTTGCTACTGCTGGTCTGAGACTCGATGTTTCCATTCGTCTTTTACATGTTAAGGATTTGATAATGATAAGCTTAGTCCGAGCTTAGGTCGTTTATATCATTTGTTATATGGCATATTTTGGATCAAAGCAGTACGACACTGCCTCCTGCTTTTGTGATGTATGCTGGCAAGACGCAGGTTCCGGTCGCAGGTCACCCGGACCCGGTTCCAATGTGGTCGGGCTGGCATGCGATAATGTGATGTTGTTTTGCTCGTCTCTGTGTTCCACACTTGATGATGTTTGTGAATCTAACCCACATTGTATAGTATTTTTGTTTGTTTGCGGCCGATGGCCTTGTAAGTTGTAACCGTGGCAATACAGTTTTTCCTGCTATAATTCTCCAATATTCAAGGGTGGGTGGATATCTCTGTATTCACGTATTCCCTTCTCCCAGTACAGTCAGAGAATATCAATTACAGTATTCATACGGATTATTCAAGCCTTGTATAATTATTTGAGGTGTGCCGAATCCGAAAGACCGATAAAACTACTAGCGGAAAATGTGACATGATGCCATGGGTTTGTGAAAAGTTTAGGTACCACGTAGCATTCAACTTCCTGCATTTCTGTTTCAACTCAGTTTAACGTATTTCAACGAACATAACATCAAAAATGGCAGCCAGTACCGGCTTCACCTGTCACGGAGAACGCTCAAAAAATTGAGTGTAGATGCTGGCCGGCACTCAATTTTTCGAGCGCCAGCTGACTGTCGTCTGTCGTGGCGCTCAATTTATTGAGTATCGCGGTCCCGAACGACAAGTGGCGCTCAAAAAGTTGAGCGTCTTTAGGGCATTTTCTTTCCAAAAACACCGATATAAATTATCACGGCGAGTGTTCGAGAAGAAACCTTGTTGCTCTCTCTTGCCATTGATACCTTATTTGGATACGATATTTGCCGTAGTGTGACGCTAAAGGCATTGTAAAATACCATCGTTTCGCCTATTCCTTCATAATGGGGCCCGCTCAATTTTTTGAGCGCTCAATTTTTTTAGCTTTTCCCCCTTGTGCGTGGGACTGAGGTGCACATAGCAGTGCACACAACAATGCGCAGAGGGCCTACACAAAAACAACATGAATAGTGTGCACTATGCACAGCATTGTACCCTGATTATTTGAATATTTTGATCACTCCAGTCAACAGCCAGGAGACAATTATTGAATATCACATTTATCATACATCACTAGTCAAACAAGAGCATGATGACACACATTTTGACAAGCAATCATGGCAGTATTCCAATAAGTTGGACAGTCACCTCCCTGGGCATCATTTTCCCAGAAAAGTACCTCTGCAGGTGTTGTGGTAGGCTAGGTTGAATTGGGTTAAGTTAGGCGAAATAAGGTGGTTAGGACCAGGTCAGACCATAAGGCCTGGTCAGGTTGATTAATATTTCATTCTTATTTGACATAGATGCCTATTATCTATGTTTTTGCTCCAGCCTGAATTTCATTAGGTAAAGAGTTAATTTTGCTTTGTTTTTTATCTGTCTTTTTTGTGTTTTTGTCCCTTATGTTTTGCCCCATAGGCAAGGGTGGAGCTTTTCCAGGGAAGGTGGTGGAGCAAAAGCCGTCAAACCTGCGATGCCCGGTTGTTAAGTTAGATAATGTGCAACACTGAATCAATTTTTTAAATTAAAGAACTAACATTATGAATTACACAGACATTTCAAAGCTCCTCAATGCGAACAAGATTGGTTTGCTAAGCAATGAAGTTTTACAAATCAGCAAAATTTGGAGGAGCAGAACGCTAATTTTTTTCTCTGACAGCTTCGTAACATGTTACGATACGAAGGCACCAAAACTACTTCAGTACAGGGTGTAACGAAATTATCCGGACATCCATTTTTTCGCCATATCTGTTTGAACAGTTTCCAGAGCTGGGCATTGCACAACTTAAGTCCGCAACTCCGCAACTCCGCAACTTGCGGACTACCCTCTTGGTAGCGGAGTTACGGATCGGCTACCGAGCCCAAAAAAGTTGCGGAGTTGCGAGTTGCGGAAGCGAAAAATTCTAAAGCGCAACCACTACCGGGGCCGCCACCGCTGGTGGGGGCGCCACTGTACTCTTTGCTCTCCACTGCACACTGCACGTGTTTCCAGGCTAGTTTTGAGGCTGATTTCGAATTTATTGACCGTTTGAACATTTACGAAGTAATTTTAGTGCCTTAGTAACATGTTAGGTACGAGGCTTTCAGTGGTGGTTGACACTGGATAGGCGGTAGGACGCCTACTGGTTGACCTGACCTGACCTGACCCGACCAGGCCCAAATGCATGAAGACGTCATCTTTGATCAAAACCAACATGAAATTTGTTATCAGCGCCCCCTCAAAAAAGCATAAAAGCTTCACTTTACGAAGTTCTAGCAGGTCCGATTTTCCCGACTTTTGGGTCATTGACCTGGCCTG